TGTGTTACAGAGTATTGACCAATTTTGTTGACTTTGAGAAATGTACGCCCTTTGTGGCTTTTTAATGAAAGTAAATATTTTACTCTGAAATCCGTGTTATTTTGTCGTAATATCTGTGGGGTAGAATAAGGGTGTTACACCTAACAATTCTCGACTAATCTAGATCATTTATTCCAGATTTTAACCGTTCAAACATCGACTCTATCGATTAAATCCATTTCTATCCTAGAATGGAAAAAGATGGAAAACATCCAAACAATCCAAACACACACATACATAATCACATACATTGGTAAGATAACAATGTTTCACACCCTTACATTGATTAAATCGAAAGCTAGGAGTTGATCTTGAAGAATCCAAGCTTTCCTCTCTTTTCCTTATCTTTCCTCTTCTTCCTCTTTCTTTCTCTTCTCTTTCTCTTATGTTACTATCATTTCCTTTTTTTCCACTTTCCTTATATATCTTTCCCTTTTATTTCTCTCCAATATATTTCTTCTCTCAAAATATCTACCAATTCCTTTAAATAATCATCCAATAATTTCAATAAATCAATTAATTAACATAAATAATTAACTAATGAAAATTGAGCTGTTACAACCCCCCCTCCCACTTAAAAGATTTTCGCCCTCGAAAATTATCTTAATGAACAGAGTCGGATATGACTCTCTCAACTGGTCTCCCACTCCCAAATCCAACTTTCTCCAGCTGGTCCTCCCAACTACCTTCACCAAAGAAATCTCTTTATCTCGAAGTTGCTTCTCGTTCATCAACCTAAACTAGCAATGCCTCAACAGTCAAATTCTCCCTCACTCGTACACCATCCATCTGAATCAATATACCTCCTCAGCTTAGACACATGAACATATCATGCAATTCCCATAAGTGACAGCGGTAAAACAATCTAACATGCTACTTCTCCCACGCTTCCGCTGCGCCACTCTGATACAATTCAACAAAACACGGTGTGTGCTTCCTAGACTTCAAAGATCGACCAACACTAGTCACCACTGTAACTCTCAAAACACGTCCTTTCTTGGATCTTCTTGATCTTTTCAGTCGTCTCTTACACAATTCTCAGGTCCGAGCATAACACTCTTGCCTGAATCATATCAATACAAAGGAGTCCGACACCTCCTACCATACAAAGTCTCATACGATGTCATCCCGATACTGGAATGATAGCGATTATTGTAGGTAATTTACTCAACGATAATTAACTATCCCACGATCCACCTTGATCCAACACACAAGCTCTCCACAAATCCTCTAAAGACTGGATAGTTCTCTCTGTCCGTCCATCCGTCCACGGATGACAGGCAGAGTTCAACTTTAACATGGTACTCAAAGCGTCTGCAAATTCTCCCAAATTCTTGAAGAAAACTCAAATTCCCACCTGACACAATATTCGACGACATCTCATACAACTTCATCACTTCATTGATATACATCTCAGCTAGCTTCAGCATAGAATGATTAATCTTCCTTGGTAATAAATGAGTTAATCTTGTCAATCCATTCATAACCACCCAAGTTGAATCATATTTCTTCAAATTCTTCGAAAAACCCGTCACAAAATCCACGGGAATACTATCTCATACCACTCAGAAATATTCAACGGTTGTATCAGGCCCAACAGTCTTTGATGTTCACACTTCAAATTTCAACAAGTCTAATCAGCATATACAACCTCAACCACTTCTCTCTCCATTTATGATCACCAAAACAATTTCTCAAATTCGGTCACATCCTCACAGTACCTGGATGGATACTCAATCTATCTCAATGTCCTTCTTCCAGAGTACTCTTATCCAACTCACACTATTTGGAACACACCCACCATCACGACATCTCATAGTACCATTCCCATCAAACCGAAAATCAGCTCTTCGACTGTAATTCATTAAATTCAGTCACTCTATTAACTCAAATTAGAATTCCGACCTCTTCGAATCTCATCAAGAATACCAATAGTCGGCCTCAACATACAAAGCTCAACTCCATAAGAAGTCTCCTCACAGACCAACTCATCCCGGATTTGCTTAATCAGTTCTAACTTCATTACCATCATCATCGGTATATGCAGAAATTTCCAATTCGATACCTCAGCTACCACGTTGTCTCACCCGAATGGTAATTCGACCAAAACCAAACTCCTTCAGAAGTCCCAATTATTTCCTCTGCATCATATTCAACTCTTTCAAATCAACAAATACCTTAAGTTCGTAAGATCACCAACCATAAAAAGATTAACATGTATATTTTCAACCAACCCATTCAAAATCTGCAAAGTCAAACACATAAGGACAAATAAACAATAAGTTAAATAAATAAATAAAATTCATTTATGATTTGGTGGAGCATTCTTACGATGCAATAACGCTAATTAGAGAAATATATTACATCATAAGCTATGTTGTGTATAAATGAATCTATAAATAGAACCATTATACTCAACTGATAGTCACTTATTCACGTATTCTCAATACCTTAATAACACTATAATTATTAGTTTGTGTTCTCTCTAAACCTTTCATTCGTTCATAACTAGGATTGTAGGTGGAAGAATCCATCGTTGCAGATTCTGTTCATGTGGACTAAGTAAAGGTGTTGTCGTTTGTATTGGTCTCGTGATCAATGCGTTTCAAATATTATAGGTCTTCCACTACAAGCGATAATCAATCAATCCCTGACTCAGGACCCATTTCAAGATAACTTTTTTTCTATTTTATTTTTCGTGTTTATTGCGATTTCCCTTTAAATACCAAGTACCCAACATGCCAACACAAGATTAGCCATAAATACAATCTCATTAACATAAGGAGAATGAAGTATTTTTTTCATTCTCTTATGGTCTCCCTAAAAAGAAAAGAAAATTTGTTGGTACCTCCTCCTCTACACTCATTATGAAGAAGGTGTCACCAATAATTATCAACAACCATCCTAAGAGCTATAAATAAAGGGCTCAACATCAGCCCAAACCATGTCATTCTAATTCTAAGAACACAAAAGTTTTAATGACAACACAAAAGACTAATAGAACTCCCTAAGTCTCATAATCATATACCTAATACCTTTGTTCATAATACATTGCAGGCAAAATCCACCATCTCAAGTTCAACAAGAACAAATTGAAAAAATGTTAAATTTAAAATGAGAAATTTAAAATTAAGACAAGTGTCTTTTTAGATGGAATCCTAGATTCGAATGTGAGTCATTGCATTTTTCACAAAGACTTTAGTAAAAAAAAATTAAATTGCAAGAACATAAATAAATTAAAGAAAAAAGAATATGAAAGAGAATGAAGGCTATACAATAAGAAATGATTAATAAAATATTAATAGTAAAAATTTATAATAAATTAAATATCTAGATTACCTCTAAAACTAATTTTAGTTATTTAAATAAATAAAAATATATAATTAATAATCTTAAATTAATCATAAATAAAATAAAATAAAATAATAATATGATTATATATAAGAATATTTTTAATAAAATATAAAAAAACTTAGTGAGTGATTTCCTTCATTATTGAATCGACAATATCTCATTACAATATAATAGCCTTCTAGTGGGCGACAATATCCCATTATGAAGATGTCTGTTTGGATCTAAAAAAAGTTTCTCTGGGGGAGGGGGTGAAAGGTGATGTTGAAATTATATAGGTATGCTGAAAGAATGTTTGTAAGCTAAAGTGTCTTGGTGGAAAGGGATTTTTTTCCTTAGGTTTTATAGCAGGGGTTTCTCCCCACTCATTTATGGAGGGAATTAACAAAAAAACTTGGGTATGGTCTTACTAACTCATTTTAGAATGATATCAGGGTGGATCGTATCTCTCTTAGAGAGTGTTTTCTTAGGATTTATCCTATTGATCTGAACCAACGTAGAACAATTGGATAGGTGACAATGTCTGAGGGGAGTAATTAAGTTGAGGTTTTTAATGGAGAATGTTTTTCTTTGTTTAAGAGCATGATTTAGTGGATAATTTTTCACACTTAGCTAAGGGTCATCATCTCCTATATCATTGATTGTTAGAGCTATCAATGAAGACATTTTGAGTCAGTTAGAATCTTTTTATATTTTAGGAGAGTCGACTAAGTTAAGAGAAAGTCTTTTGATAACTTGTCATGTTATGGTTTGGGTTATTTGAAAATCTCGAAATAATTCATTTTTTTCAAGTAAAACTGTTAGCGTGGAGGACTTTGAGATAAAGAGCGTGTTTTGGCGTGAAAATTGTATGTTGAAATTTTTTTGAATCACTCTTGTCCTTTCTCGGGTTAGTTGGCAAACTTCATCTTCATTATGAGACAACAACGCTTTGAGTGACTATGACCTAATTAGGAGAGAGTTTTCCTTCCTATTCTCTTGTTGTGGTTTTTCTCTGACTAAGTGCTTTTGATCCTTAGTGGTGGGATCTATAGTCTTGGTATCTTTAGTGAGCAACTTATGTGAATTGTGTTTTTTCTTTAATTGTTGATATTTTTTTATGTTGTTTCTATTATACGAGTACATTTTAACGATATTTTTTTGTGTTGACTTCTGATTTGTGGACGCTTTTTCTTAATTGTATATTAACTTATTAATATATTTTTTCTTTTAAAAAAGTAATGTCAAGTTGTTTTTAAATTTTGTTTTTTTCCTACAATTGTTTTTTATAAATTTACAATGCTATAATTATTGTATTTCAAATAATTTTTCTATATATTTTTGCTGAATGAAATAAAAGTATTCATTCTATAAAAAATTATGGTAAATTATTCAAATTTTGTTTTTTTATAAATAAATATTTATTGTAAATATTTTTTATTGCTTTATGGATGATTTTTCACTATACTTTTCTTTTTATTTCATCTTGAAGTATTAAACTAGTCAAAGAAAAGTGTAGAGGCAGTGCTCAAACCGTCCAACAAAGCCAGCACTGTTCGCATTTGCATTTCACAGAAAGAGAGAGAGAGAGAGAGAGAAACCGTTTTCTAGAGAGAGAAAACTCCGCAGCTATGTCGTCTTCCTTCGATGCATTCACCGATGACTTGAACGTCAACCCTTCTTCAACTCACCACTTCGCTACCTCCGATCAGGACGACACCTACTCCGGTTTCGGCGGTTACTCCAACTTCTCCGCCGATGGTGATGTCACTGTCGATCACGCCGCTGAGACTTCTCCGGACATCTTCGGATTTAGTGATCCGAATCCAGGTTACTCTCCGTCTCCATTTGAATCCGTTTCAGTAGAGAACGGAAACGATAACGGAAACGGTTACGGTGAGAGTGATGGTGTTTTTGTCTCTGATGGTCCGATTCTTCCTCCACCCGGTGAGATGGAGTCAGAGGAAGGTTACGCTCTTCGTGAGTGGCGCCGGTAAGTAGGTTGCAGTTTTTTTTTACTGTGTTGTGAATTTGTTGGATCTCGTTTGAATCTGATTAGATCTGTGACTGTGATGACTTTGCTTTGACCTAGAAGTTTGATCATAGCGTATTTTGCGGTTAGTTGTAAGCAGTCATGATCAGAAACCAGTAATCGATGTGCTTTATCTTAATTGTAGGAACAAACGAATTGATGAACTTAGTTTATTGCAATTGCAATTTCACTTGTAGTAGTTAGCTGAGCTATGGTAAGATATGATATAGAATTTTCCTAAGAAATTTAGTAAAATTCTATGCCAGGGAGAAATTGATTTATATCCACTAGTTTCTAGGATATCTTTCGGTGGATGAAGTTTGAATTGTAATATGAGAGGGGAATAATAGTTAATATTTTACTTATGGAAGTTTGATCTGCAGTGAGGTATTTGTTAGGATAAATTCTATGGTTAAATAAATTATAATTAAGGTAGCAGCTTGATTTGGATTTCAATCTAGGTGCTTATATGTGAGTGTTGTAAACACTGAGTGCCATGTTGAATTTCGACTTATAAAAAAATTTCATCACAGATTAAGCAATTTTTAGGTTTTACTTGTGTGCTGCTCGTTTTATTGGATTGCGTATTCAAGGTGACATTCATGGGTTTCACATGTCACCAGTGTTGAACTTGGATCAGGCTAGCAATTTACAAAAAGCTGGCTCACAATCTTGATGAGGATCGCATCAGATCTTCTTGTACACATTTCTTAGATTTTGTGGGCATTTTACGGAGAGTATAGCATGAAAAAAAATTTAATCCATTCGGCTTTTAAGTTAGATAATCTTGGCAGAATTTTTCTCTATTTTTCAGTCTCTTTCTCTCTTCCTCTCTTCCTCTGATGTAATGTTAAGGAGGAGCAATAGATGTTGGACAAATTTGGTAGTGTAAATGTACTGATATTTTTTAGTGTAATATGTCAAAATTAAAAAAGAAATTAACTGGAAACAAGTGTTATGAGATTCTACAATCAGGTCTTCATGGCCCTCCAACATATTTCTCCCCGGTTTATGTTTATGCTTCATGAAATACCTTGTCTCTTCTATGTTCCCTTTAGGAATGATGGAACTTCCCATCCTCAATTTATACAGCGAAAAATGTTTTTAACATGGTCTTTATTGTTTGGTGAAATTCTTATGAGTTTTCCTAGGTAGGGAATGGGTTTGATCAAATAGGGACTGGAGTTCACATAATTTAGCGGGGCTTGCATCAATTTTATTTAATAATAGTTAGTAAAAACAAATTCTCTTATATGGTTTTACGATGATTGCGTCTACCTTACAATTTTAGATTTTTACCCTACTACTTTTATTTCTGTTCTTGCTAAAAACATTAAAAGGTTAACCTCTCTGATACTGGTCAGGGAAGGTCACAAATGTTTCATGGCCACCATTGCTGGTGGACCAATGTTTCTGTATCTTTTCTCCTTTCTATGTTATTCATCGTCCCCCTTCGTACTGTTTGGTCTCAGGGTCTTTTTATATGCAGGCCTTGCCATCCCCCTTGGACATTGAAGGGGTGTGGTTTTAATGGGTTTAGTAGCCATTAGTGATATGTAACCGTTTATGGTCATTAGTGATACGTAACTGTTTATGGCCATTAATGATATGTAACGGATTATTAATCAACCTGTAACAGTTTCCGACCCTTGATTGTTCCAGAAACGTTAAACAGTTATGATTTGGCCTCCGGTCAATTGAGTTCGGAATGAGTATGAGACTCGCTGCTCGGGCTCATAATAATTTCTCCGACATCATACAATCCCCGGGATACACACTGGCCATATCCGGGTTCTAATAAAATTCAGGATGTACAATTTCTAATCCATTTTCTAATATTGCTCATCTGTTTGATTTGAAAACTTTATGATATTTGACAATATCACACCGAGCGACTGGTCTATGCTTAAAAAATGATTTTTTTTTTAATTGTACACTGTGCAATCAATTTTTTGTGTAGGATCACATAGTAATACAAAAATTAGGATTCTAAATTTGATATGAAATATTTGTGTTAATGTCATGGGGCATGTATTATCAGCAAACGTTTATGTATTTTGTCGGAACCTATATCAAATGTTTAGAGTTTCAGTACTATAGATTTCCAAAAATGGCTGCAAATTGCTACTTGCAGTTACAAATTAAAATAGCCAGTCAATGTGATATAGACATAGCATAATTAATGTAGGGAAACCTATTGTTATAAAATTCCTGTCACAGTAGTAGAGGATGAGACCCATTATGTGTTTAGTATGAGCAGTTATCTAGTATTTGCAATAGGCTGATTGCACAATTTGAACCAGTGATCTCGTAGTCATATGGAAGCAACTTCAACCATTGCTTCAAAGCTTCTCTTTGCACTAGGATAGTTGATAACATTAATAAAGTTGAGTCTAAAAATAAAATGATGTTGTTAATCTAAATCCCCTGTTTGTAAAGTTATTAAAGGCACGAGTATTCTTAAACATAACGGAAAACAACCGTTCTCTTAATTTCTGATCTTAGTCCATTTAAGATTTATGATGTATTGTAAGTTTTGCTGAATTCCATTGTCATGAAACAATGAATGTCTTTGGCCTTCCTTGTACAGTCAAAATGCCATTGAGCTAGAGGAGAAGGAGAAAAAGGAAAAAGAAGCGAGATTGAAGATTCTCGAGGAAGCTGAGGAGTATAAGGTGGCTTTCTATGAGAAAAGGAAGCTTAATGTTGAGACTAACAAGGTTCAAAATAGAGAAAGGGAGAAGGTAAATTTACTAGCATCACAATTTGAGTGACAAATTATAAAAATTTATAGAAAATGAATACAAAATGAAAATTTTTCTATGGTGCAGCTATTTGTGGCTAATCAAGAGAAGTTTCACAAAGAGGCAGACAAAGCTTATTGGAAGACAATTGCAGAGCTCATTCCTCGTGAGGTTGCTAGCATTGAAAAGAAGAGAGGCAAAAAAGATCAGGATAAGAAGCCATCTATCACTGTTATCCAAGGCCCTAAGCCTGGCAAACCCACCGATCTTTCCAGGATGCGGCAAATACTGTTAAAGCTGAAGCATACACCACCACCTCACATGATTCCACCACCACCACCACCCGCTCCTGCTAAAGATGCTAAAGTCGGTAAGGATGGAAAAGAAACATTGCCTAAAGCAACTCCTACAGCTGAAGGTGCATCTGGATCCCAACCAAAGGATATCACTTCCAACGGCCCTGCAGAGGAACCCAAGGAAGAAGCCTCTGCAACTGAGGAGCAACCTGCAGCATAATTTTGCCTTGTTTACTTCTCTCAATCATTTGTCTGATATCCCTTTTTGCACCTGCTGTGTTTAATGAATCTTTTGGTCCTGTCATTAGTTTGTAATACTTATTGATTGCATTTTAGTACCTACATTAAGGTTTTTAATGAACTAAATATACTATGAACAAATATGACATGTAGATTTAGTGTTCATGGTTATAAATAGATGCGTATTGACTTTATGATGACAAGGTTGCTGATTTTTGGGACCTGATATAAATTTCCATACTCCTAGGTGTCAATATTTTGTTGTTGATGAATGCTTGATCTCAGTGATTGTCTATAATACAAGTAATGCCCACTATAGGCACATTTTTATCTATCTTATTAAGAAGAGGGAAGCTGGTCCAAAAGTTGCCGGATCTCCATTCTGACCTTTTTGGTCTTTCCCATGTTGCTACCATGTTTACAAGACCTTTTTGGTCTTTCCCATGTTGCTACCATGTTTACAAGACCTTTTTGGTCTTTCCCCATGTCGCTACCATGTTTACAATTTTCAATATGTTTATATACAAGCTTTTCTCTCAATCTTAAAAAATACGACACCTTTCTATTTTTCTCTCTTATCCCTATCACCACCTTGTTATCTTTCTAGTTTCCATTTTAACACCTACCTCCTCCCAGTAGGTTGCTTGTAGGTATGGAAATAGGAACCGAGCGAAGCTTTTAATAAGTTCAAAATTTTAAGCTGATTTAACAAACATAATGTATGTAAATAAATAGTAAATTCTTTCAAGTTTTGAATATGTTTTAGTGGAGGATGTCTGATAAGATTAGACAAACTAAGATTTGAAATGATTATATTAGAGAAAGTGGACCAGCTTTTTTTATTATATAAATTGATAATCAAAATAATTAAAAATAGAGGAAGACATTGGAAATTTATAAAAATAAAAAAAAAACAGAAATTATTGAAAAAATTTGAGTGACAAATTAGATAGATACAATAGAAAATCATGACATAATAAATGCATATAGGCTTGAATAGAAAATCATGACATAATTTGAATCACATAGCCTACTCCATTAATAGGTATTAATAAGCACACTATAAGACATACAAATTATAGAAATGGAGTGAGGCTCAAGAAACTCAATTAATCTATCTTTCATTGATTTCACTACGCAACATACAACAGAATATAGATGTTAGTTTTGGTTAGTTAGTTAAAGTTTATTAGAAATTATTTAGTTTGTTAATATTCTATACACTCTTATGTATAGAGTAACATCTAATTATCTTGTATCCATTTTACATTCTAATTTTTTTTTTCATTCACAGAAGTAATAACATGTGAAACTTACTAAGAATCATTATAAAAGTAACCCTAGTTTAAAAGACTCAAATCCAAGATCTTAGTCCAATCTCTTAATTTCTATGGGAAAAAAAAGTAATTTTCTTTCCCTCTCATTTTACAACTATGCAATTCACACAAAAATTAAATAGTCATCATCATCACCTTGGAGTGACCTGAGTGATACTAGCCTGAGTAGAACTAGTATGATAAACTAAAGATTCAGGGTTTGATCTCTGCTGAGAGGATTCTCCAACATCATAGTTAAACAATCCTGGTGCTGTTAGTTGTTTCTCATTCAGCTGAATTTCCTTAGAGAGCATGTCAACTACCTGGGTCATCAATGGCCTTCTTTTTGCTGCTGCTTGTGTGCAGAATAGAGCAACCTTGATGTACTTGATAACCTCTTTCTCAGGATATTCTTCCATCTCTTGATCTACTAGCTCCAACCATTTCTCATCTTCATGTAGTTGCCATGCCTGTTACAACACATAATCATATCAATATAAACAATGTTTCACTTAAATATTATCGAAACCGATTTTAAAGTAAAAATTGTTCACCAGCTATTAATGCATTTTCAAGTTATATTTCTTTCAGTGACTCTTAACTAGGGGTTGCTGGGCCCGTCCGGTTTGCCGGCAAAAAATGATGGGCTTTGACGGACGCGAACATAAACAAAACATACATGACTTTTTTGTTGTTGTCATTTTTAGGCTTTCTGAGTGACAGGCCAAGCCAAAGTTTCCGTCCCGCACCATCTACTTTGTCTGTCCCACCCCACCCAGTTTTCTGACGGACCAAGCCAAAGTTACAGTCCCGCCCCATCCCATTATTTTGATGGATGTGGACATAATCGAGGCAGACATGACTTTTTGTCATTTTTAGGCGTTAAGGGTGATAGTGATAGGGTGAGCCAAAGTTTCCGTCCTGCCCCATCTACTTTGTCGGACCCACCCCGTTTTTTGACAAGCCAAACTGAAGTTTCCATCCCGCCGCGTGTTTTGGCGGGGATCCGTCAAATCCTGGATTAACTCTAATATTATCTTATAATTTAGATTTATTGAACTTAATCCTACGAAACTAGCTTATAAAACACAGACTACACATTGCTTATTGAAAGTTTTACTCATTTTAAAGTCAGATCATACAAACAAACTGTAAGAGCATCAAGACATCATACCCCAATTAGGAATATCATTAAGATTGCATAATCAAAATATATTTATTTGGAAACTCTTATCTGACTCTATAATCGACTAATGCCAATTTACTAGTGGGAGTTCAATTGAAGTCAGAGCAAAGTTCACTATAAATTGGTCATCCAACACAAAAGTTGTTAGTATCAGCAAAATTCAAATATGAAATCTTAAGAGAAACACATTCTAAGGTCTCAAGCCTTCACTCACTAACACAAAATTGTCAATATCAGAAGAATTCAAATCTGAAACTTTAAGAGAAACACACTCTAAAATCTCAAGTCTTCACTCACTAACACGTAACCCTAGGATTATAATTAAAATAATATTAACTTGTAGACCTTAAAAAACATTAAATGTATAAAGTTGTAAAACTTATAAATATAGAAAATTGAGATATAAGTACCCATTCTAAGAGGAATTTATGTGATCCTTCCCAATTTGTTCTTGAGCTGCTTTTGCCACTAATTATTTCAAGTATAAGAACTCCAAAGCTGTATACATCAGCCTTCTTGGTTAACTGTCCACCTAATGCATATTCTGGTGCTAAGTAACCACTGTTTAAATCAAGAAAACCAAAAAAGTGTAAATTATCAATCATTTTCATACTCCAATTATATACATCAAAACTATATATCCATACGTTGTTCCGGCGATTCTTGTGCTGATATGAGTGATATCATCTGGAAATAATTTGGCCATTCCGAAATCACCAATCTTGGGATTAAAATCTTTGTCAAGTAGTACATTACTAGCTTTGATGTCTCTATGTACAATATGTTGTGCAAGTTCTTCATGAAGATATGCAAGACCTTTCGCCGTACCGATGCAAATAGCAGATCTTTTTCTCCACTCTAGTTTGATGCTTGAGCTCTTTTTACCTAAGAAAAGAAATGATTCATTTTTCATATTTCAGATGTTGATGAATTTGATATGTTACATGATATGATATGATGTGAAACTTACTAAGTAATGTGGTATGAAGGTTTCCATTTTCGACATACTCGTAGACTACGGTACGATTCGGCCCTTGAATGCAGAATCCAACCAATTCAACAAGGTTTGAATGTTTAACATTTGATAAGGTTGTTATTTCTGTCAAAAATTCGCGAACTCCTTGCTTTGATCCTACAGAAAGAGGCTTCACTGCTATCTTTCTTCCATTTTTTAATGTCCCCTATCAAAATTATCACATTCAAATTTACTTATAGCTTTAGAATAGCTTAACAATAATCATAAAAATATATATAATCCGCGATGGAGCTGTAAACCCTAATTTTCTTTCACTTATAATAAAACAGAACTATAGATAACGTAAACGATGACGACGTAGAGACCGATTGTACGCGCTTAGAACGCTATCAGACTTGAAAATTGAAGAATGAGTTAACCTAAATACCTTGTAAACAGTTCCAAAACCTCCTCTTCCAACCTTATTGCTTAAATGATAATTATCAGTTGCCAATCTCAATTCTTTATCAGAAAAATTCTTAAGATTATCCAAAGAATAGCCTGCAACACAAAAGAAACTATAATTTCCCTACAAAACCCTAAAAGCTAATAATCAACAAAATAACTTAACCACAAAAATCATACCTTCAATTTCACTGGAAATATAATTAGAAGGATGTTCTTTCTCCTTCTTTATAGACAATGTTCTAAAACAGCTACTACACCTCATAATTGTTTTTTCTATATTACTGATATAATCTGTAATCTGCAATACAGAATCATAATCACGTTCTAAGTCAATTTATGACAGAAACATAGCAAACCTTTTAAGAATAAGACAAAGAAACGTGTGAAAACAGTGAAATGAAAATGTGAAAACAAAATGTTAGTGAGTATATAACTGAACTAATTTGACTTTTGAAAAATAAGTGATTATTATAAAGCCGGCTTGTGAATGTGATATGATTATATTAATAGAAAGGTGGCTGAATGGAAATGGTCATAAATCTCAAGCTATATGGTTTTACAGATGTCAACAATGTTTGTAGAAAGTGACACATCCACCACCACTTCCTTCTTATGTCAACATAATTTTCTTCTGTTTTTGAAAAAGCCAAAACATGTTTTTTTTTATTTGTTGGATCAATATGAGGACCAGCTTCTGGATTAGATTGATTCTTTCAATGTGATTTTTCTTCATTGAATCAAGAATTGTAGCTTTTGGATTATATTGATCCTTTCTAGGTGATTTCAGTCAAAATGATGAATGTAATAAAAAATAATAATATTGAAATTTTGTTGATTTCAAAAATTCCAGAATTATTGAATCAAAGTGAATTTTTTCTATGAAAGCAATAAATAAATTAATCACTTTAATATTTTTTTTGAATTCTAATTTTATTACTATCATTATTATCACATCTATTTTTCTTTTCTAGCAAATTCATTCCAAATAAAAAGATGCTCAAATGGGGTATATAATTTGGGATGTCAATGGGGGCATGACGGAGGCGGGGGACACA